CTGTGGACTTCACCCTCACGCTCACAATTCGGTTATACTGCAGATACACACAAAAGGGTCAGTAACGGGTTTATTTACAAAAGGGGAAAGGAATAGGAAACAACCCAGGGAAAGAGAGCGGGATACAAAGTAACTGGAATACCTTACAGCTAGGCTGACTCAACACACTGAGTTAAGTGGTCTGGAGAGCTGCTTCCCGAGTGAAAGAGCGAGAGATGCAACCATGCCCTTATTCATCCCCCAAATGTCCCAGAATTCCTGCCTGCTCCGCCCTTGGGTCCTCGCAGTTATCTCCCTGGTACTGCTGGGAATTGTAGTTTCCAATCACTGGAGTAGGGTGTAGGGTCCAGAAAGCTGGAGTAGGGGGTGGAGTCCATAAGACTCTGCAGAGTTCCTTTAGGACATCCTTCCCCTTAATAGTCCCACAATTCCTATCTAATTTGTCATCTCTCGAAGGGCAAATTGGTGAGATGAGGGACTGATTTATGTTTCCTTGCTCACCGTTGTGTCAAGCACCTAACACAGCATTGAACACAATATTTTCTCATTATTGTGAAAGAAAACTTAAGTTTGTTGACTGTTAGCTTGGGGAAGAGGTGACACTGTTAGGTTAAATCCACCCTTTTTACAAAAGGGTCACTACATCCGACATGGGTTCAAATATTTATGGAGGGAATGCACAAACATCTATTTTTCAATACCTAAATCAGGCTTGTTACTGGTTATAAGCGCCAGAGACAGGGGTGAGCTAAACAGAGATGGTCTCTTATTCAGTACTATGTTTAGAATAAATTCCTGGCAGCACAGCTAAGCCTTGCTGGGTTCACCTTCCTTTTTCCTTCAGGCAAATTTAATTCAGTGCTTTTTACAGTAAGTATTCAATACATCTCAATTCAGCTGTTGGTTCAAACAAGAAGGACAGACTGGGAGATTTTAAATACCTGTCATTATCATTCCAATTTCCTCTTTAAAAAATGTTGATCATTCTTCCCTTTTAAGTTTATAGCCCAAGTGGTGAACAATTGCGTAATAAGGACTGGATATAAATTCTATTTCCTTTCTTGGAATGTATCTTTGTAACACTATGTACTATTTTCCATTGAACTTTGACTTTTGTAGAAGTTTATGCAGGAAAACTTTTTAGAATGTTTGAGCAACACAGCATCCTTGTTACCTCTCCCGGTCTCAAGTTCTTAACTTTAAAAGTCTTGAATGGCATGAAAGTCCCCAGTTACCATCTTCATTCTGTACAGATTCGTCAAAGACATTTTCCACTAAGGCTGAACGCTGAGAAAACAGATTCACATTTGTTATTGGAATAAAAATATTTTTGTTTTTAATTTCCTGCTTGTGATATTGTACTATAGTTTACAAAACAATACCTTTGAGGAAAATTGGGTGAAGGGTCTATATTACTTCTTCCAACTGCATATAATTTATAATTATCTTAAAATAAAAGTTTAGTTAAAAAGGTTTGCTTTTAAAGCTATCACAGTTTGAATTCAGTAAACTATTACAGAGCAAGAAAAGTTTTTATTGGTCCCTAAGGACAAAAGGCATGTATTGCAAAAATACAACTGCAGGCCTCAGGAAAGATATAAATTGCTTCTGTTATCAAGAAAGCAATTTGGTATTAGTAGCCCCTAGAAGTCAGTACAAGGATAAAAGCAGCATAAAATGAAAGTAACCTAGATAAAATCTGTACTGATGCAGGTCCAGAGTGTATGTTTCCACACAGGCCAGCTTGCATGTTTGGATACTAATTATTTTTGTGACACATAAAAACCCTCAATCTATCTAACAGATGGCTCTTCCATTCCTACTGTGTCACTGACTCTTAAGGGTACAGAAGACTAACAGATGCAGAAGACCTTCTTCCAGTGAGGAACGTGTGGAAGATGAGCAGCAATAAGTACAATGGAGTAAAAAATGAATAGAGCTACAGAGGCAGGTCGGAGCTGCACTGGTGTTTGGCGGCAGGGAGGAGGGGACGGGCATGCTAGACTGTGGGGAGAGAGGAATGAGTACTGAATACAAGAATTCCAAGAGAGGGGACTGAAACTGATCTTGAAGTGTTTCCCTATGTGAATCTCTAAACTCGGTACAATACAACCGAATTACACATTTCGTTTGCCAGTCTTAACACCCACCTGAAGTATTTGTAGGCTCCTGTGGCTGGCGGCTTCCATGAATGCCAACAGGGACATTTCCATCTTTGAGGAAGTTCTATAGGTCTCTCCTTCCTAGAACTGGCCTAGGTCGAAGCTTCCTCTCTTATATTTGGGTTTACATAAGTTGGTTCTTCAAATGTGTGATTTGGAGATGGGAAGGGTGGAACAGGTAGCAAGAATAGTCAGGGGTCATTAATCAGGTTTGGCTGTTAAATCAACTCCCCCAATAGCCCAAATCCATTCTCCAGTACCTCTGGGCTGCTTGTCACACATGGCTGAGATCCGTCTCTTGCAAGTTAAGCAAGGACATGAGGCAGCCCAAGCAGAAGCCAGTGGCAGACCCACATGTGCTGGAGTCTGCCCGGGTGGGGCAGAGACGGCTGGCTGCAGGTAACTCACAGGTAAGCAGGCAGTGAGAGAGCAGCCTCTGAATGTGGCTAAGACCATCCTGGTGGAAAAGAAACTGGATCGCTGACTTTTTCCAGTTCGTTAATCTAGCAGAGGGGATCCTGGGCTCAGAACTAAGGACCTGACAGAGCAAAGCCACTGCTAGTTTATTCTGACTTCTGGCATTCAGAAGGTCAGTTCCCTGCTTCTCTTCTGCTGCTGTCCAGCTTTTCTTACTGGAACTTTTTCAAATGATTTCTGTAATGTTTGCTGTACTTTTTAAATATCTAGTGCAGGCCCTCCCTGGCGGGTTAGGATGCAGCACTGCAAGCTGACCTCAGCTGCTTCAGTGTAAGTTCCATCCCCGTCCCAGAGGTGACCTACAGGGCGCGGCAGACCTCTCCTGACCAGCCCGCTAGTCCCCTTGGCAGTGTACTTTGTTGATCTGCCTGTTCTGCTCCCCACTCTGACTCTGCTGAATCCTCTCACCGCCCCTGCACCTCTGGCCTGCACCCCAGCTCTGTATGCATAAATAAATCTTAAAAAAAAAAGTCTTTAAAAAGAAATCTGTTGCAGCCTAGTTGGAGCTGAACTCAATTTTTATGTTAATTTTGGAAAAACTGTTTTTGTATTCCAAAGTAACAATGCAGCTTTCATTTATGATTGTTTTCTGTCCTTCAATAAGACTTGATACAGTTTTCATCCAGTCTTGTATTTTACTTGAAAATTTATTTTTAGGTATGAGTTCCAATTGTGACATAACTGAACATTTTTTCCCATTTCCTTCCCTGGGTGCTATTCTAGTACAGAAAATTCTATTGATTTTTGTGGACACCTTAATGCATTCTTCTCTTCCTAGTGTTCATTATCTTTTTATTAGAACCCTTTGGGTTTTCCAGGAAACAATCAAGACAAAAAAAAAAGTGTGTCTTTGCTACCAGTTTTTAATTTTCCTTTAAAAGATTTATGCATAGAGAACAGGGGTACAAGCCAGAGGATTCACCAGAGACAGAGCAGGAAGCAGAACAGGCCGACTAATGAAACACACTGCTGGGCAGGTCAGGAGAGGTCTGCCGTGCCATGTGGGTCACCTCCCAGTTAGGGAGTGAACTCATGCTGAAGTGGCTTCAGCTTCTTAGTGCTGTGCTTTGACCTGCTGCGCCACCAGGGAGGGCCCTAATTTTCTTTTTTTAGACTTATTTATTCATGCAAACAAGAACTGGGGTGTAGGTCAGAGGTGCAGGGAGTGAGAGGATTCACCAGAGACAGGGTGAGGGCAGAACACATAGGTCAAGTGAAATACACTGCTGAGGGGGGCAGGAAGGTTAGGAGGGGTCTGCTGTGCCATGTGGGTCACCCCTCTAGTTGGGGATCGAACTCGTGCTGCAGTTGCTGCAGTCAGCTTCATAGTGCTGCACTTTGGTCTACTGCACCACCAGGGAGGGCCCGTTTTTAATTTTCTCATTGCATCAATTAATACCTTTCCAAAACCATGCTAACTAGCAGTTAACTTTAATTATTAAGACCTTAATATCTCACTTTAAAAAAATCTAAATTTGGAATGGCTGCTGGGCTTTGTAAAATACCCCTTCAGCAGTGTTTCCTATAATTTTATTTCACGATGAGATGTTCATTTTCCCTACCTTAGTCCACAATGCATCCTTGATTGGCATTTTCTTCTTTTAAGAAACTGCTAGATTTTATTACCTATAAAACAGTACCCCCAAATTTCAGACATTTGGAGGTTCCCTTTTACTAGTTTTAGTGCAAATTTATTTCCATCTTTCATTATTGTGGTCATTTGACTTTTGATTAGAAATGGAAATAGGTAAATTTTCCAGGTAATCCCCTATTTTTAATTACTGAAGACAATTTAGAAGGGAAAGACATAATTCTACTCTCTTAAAGTACTAATAACTCTTCCTGTTTTGACCCCCCCAGCTTTTGAGTTTTTTTCCTCCCCATGAGTTTTGAGTTTCTAGCCTGGTAACAAACTCAAGAAACCCTTCCCCTAAGCAGAACAGGTGCTGCTCTCCTGAATCCTGGAGGCTGTCTAGTAGAGAGACTTGCCATCCTTCCTTCTGGAAAGGCTGCCACTTAGCATGCACTGCACAACTCTGGGGACAGCACACACACAACTATCATGCCTCTGTGTATTTATCACAATTTCCCAGCAGACGTCAGTGGGAAGGCCCGAGGAAAAAGCTGCAGTGTGGCTGCAATGATGCAGTCCCAAGATAAGGCTAGGTATCACCTGGGGCCCTCAGCCAGTTCTGGCACCAAAAAGGACCCTCACCAAGGTGGCACATTTGAGACGAGCAATTTTCACCCATGTTCTCCCCCATCCCAACCTGTTACCAAACAATAACAAGAACAATGAAAGTCAGGTTCACCCCGAGTAGATCCTCCTGCTGGTCAGGTTCTATTTCTTAAGCAGAATGGTGGTTTCAGAGGTGTTCATTTTATTATGCTTTAATTTATGTACATGTTACATATATTCATTTTGAATGTCGTGATACAATAAAGGAAAGCACACATATACAAATAAGAATGCCATTATCATGGGATGACCTTGAATTTGTTTGTATTTCTCTTCCTATTAGCCAACTTATAAACCTCAATTATATAACTATTATTAGTTAGCAAACATCTTATAATGCACTTTATAGACTGTCTCGATGCTAGGATTTGAAATCATTGTCCTGTTAAAGTATTTGAAAACAGGAGTAATGCCTTTAAAAATTTTTTTTAACGATTACTCTATACAACAGGGTAATTCTACTAAAATTTATCATTGAGATTCCAGTATAAGGGGGAATGTTTCCTTTAGCCCATCTCTAGAATTTAAAGCAATAACAGTGTGGCCAAAATTTTTTTCCAGAATCTATATCACATGTAAATTGGAGAATCTATAAATTGGAACATTATCTACTACTCCGAGTAGCATTCAAGTGATTTCAAAATTTCTGGTCACCTAGAAAAGCTAAAATCTGACCTGAGAAACAATGCTTGGGTACTGTTCATACAGTGTATGTCAACCCTGTGACATCTGTGCCCAATAACCAATTTGCCACTGCTTCCTCAGGATTAAATCCTGAAATGTTAATTTGGCCCATGAAAGCCTACAGTAAAGACTGTTACTTCCCATCCCTTCCTTGTGGTTAGTAGGATCAAGAGATTTGAGTTTGGGTAGTAAGCCTAAGTGGTGTGAATAACTTGTATTATTCTTAAAGGATGGGGAATAATCCTTTAAATCAGCATTTCCCAGAAATGCTGATACAAAGTTTTTAGATGGAGCACACTTCTGCAACAACCACAGTGTGTGAAAGCCACAGGCTGAGAAAGGGGAGGAACAATGTAGAAGGAATGTGGACCCTTGACTCTACAGCAAGTGGAACAGTAACCTTAGACTCCCTTTCCAGGCCTTTCCATGCAAGAGAAATAAACTGCCTTGTCAAAGTCACTGGGGACACAGCTCAACTAATATATACAAACGCAGTAGTGCCAAACTTGAATCTAATTTTCTTAACCTACAAAGTTGACACAAATCGTAATATTGCACTTGGTGGCAGTTATTTCTGCTGCTAAGATGTCTCCCACAGAGAACACTGTGTGTCACCAACAGGGATACTCAAAGAATGCTTAAGTCCAAATAACTGATCTCCTAATGCTAATGCCCACAAGTGGACCTGATGATTCAGAAAAACACCAAGAACATGAAGAACTGCCTTAGACTACCCTAGGATGCACAATGACTGGGAAGTCCCTTCCCACAAGAGAACTTATAAAGAGCAATTTAACAAAACAAAGATTTTTTTTTTATTTACATACTCAATGCATTTTACAAATAACATATTTGCATTCCCTAAGTCTTTTGGAAAGTAATTCCAGTTTGTGCAATGAGTTTACAGGTAAGTCTTAAGACATCTATTAGACATCTTAAACCTAAATTCTAAATTTCAAAAGATAGGTCACACTATAATAGAGGACTGCTTTTAATTAAGAAAAACTAAACTCTGTAGTTAAATATTGCTCTTAAATATCTTTAACCCAAGTACAAACCGAATTAGTCTATGAAATAATACTGTTAGATTTGGATGAGTCATTTTCACCCTCCCCAATAAAATGCATGCACAAAGTAAACATAGTAAATTACATTAATGACATTTTAACTCAATGCCTTTTCTTGGACTCTCTCAACTATTTATTGTTTTGCTAAATCCAGGATAGAGATAGGTAGAATTCCAGTCTGGGAAATTCTAAACCACTACTCTTTGCTCCAGAAGTCGGAGGATTTTCATTAAATAAATGGAGACAGGTCGGTTTTAAGAGTTTTGAATGGTTTCTCTAGGTGGCCTTGTTGGCTAATCAGAACAAGATTTTCCTCCAGGCCTGGTGAAGGCTGAAGGATCAAATATCTCCCTATATTGAGCAGAATCTACTTCAAACTTCCCAAGAATCACTAATTTGATTTCAGTGCACTTTGAACTGATGATGGAAAGAAATGTTTATCTGCTCAGATGCCAGAAACTGCTTTAAGGGGACATAAAGGTCTTCTGGAACAGGTAAAGAACAATGAATGCACTGATTTTATCACTCATAGCTGCCATCTCTTAAAACCTATGTCCTAGCTCTTGAGCCAGAGAGTAGGGACTAAGATATCTCCATGCTGGATCCACCCCAATTAAGCAATACTCTTCTCCATCTTCATACTACATTTCTACTTGACAGATGGTGTCTAACACCTGCCAGAGGTGGATCAAAGGGAGTTTACTAAGTTGGAGATAATAAAGCCCAACATCTGATATGGTCAACGCAATTCTAAAATAAAGAATTGGTGAGGTAGTGTTGAGAGAGTTCAATTATTTTTTGGGCACAGGCCTTTTGGCACATTCTAAAGTTACAGACTCCCTATCCAATTCTCCTTTATGATACCCTTACAAAGTGCTGGCAACTTAGGCTGCTTGGGTCTATTTAGGGTCAATTGGGTCTATTTTAGGTCTATTTATTACATAAAGCTAACAAAAAAATCATTTGAAGAAATCTGTTCCTGGCACTTCAGCTAATTTACCCCAATATTGAAGCAAATCAAAACAATGCTACCCATTTGCTGAATTTATTTAAACAAGTCAATTTAGAAATATCATAGAATTAAACGAAACTTCTGACATGTAAACATACTGCCATGTTCCTGAAACAGATGTTAACACCTGATAAAAGTTAATAATCGTCTATTAGGAAAGCTGTCCACTAATAAGGCCAGTCTTCAGCAAAACTAAAACCATTTTGTTCCTTTAGCTTTCCTAGTCTCACAATGCAATACTATCAACCCACAATCAATGATAATAAAGACAACATTGAATGGATAGATCAGTACCATTGGTTACAGCTGTTAAACAGTTTCATTCTTGGCGCCACATAAAAACAATTAAGCCAATCACATCAAATAAATCATGGCTTTATCTTTTTTCACAATTCACTAAGTGATGTTAATTATGGTCCATGTCAAACACGTTTGGTAAAGGCTATTTACAGTGTACATGGCTGAGCATGCACTATTTATAGTTACAAAGATACCTGCCAGTTTATTACAATAGAATTACACAGTGCCTGAAAATGGTGGAACATCTCACACATCATTTAAATCAATACAGTTTCAAGCAGGAAACGTTCCTTATTTGACCACAATTGCAATAATTACATGAAAATTCTTATAAAAACACGAATCCCCTTCAAGAAATTGATGCATATTCTACGCACTACAGGTTAAGGCAGTAAAAAAATGTATTCCTGATAACTGGAGGTCTTGACAATGTCAATTAAAGCTGTCTGACTCTAGTTTTTCACTCTCTGTCATGTACTCAAAGTTCTGTCTGTATAACCTAGTTTGTGAAAAATTTCATTTTTAAAGTCAAAAAGTATTAGTAAAACGAAGAATAGTTGACACTGGAAAAAAGTAATCCCCAGGGAAAAATGTAAGTTAGATTTTGCCTGAAAGTTTTCAAATCATAAACAAGAGCATTATTTCTAAGTCTGAACCTTAAAAGTATAAAAACAAATCATAGTTTACCTTTCTCTTAATTTAAAATATACTGCACTTTGAACAATTAAAATTAATGTAACACTAGCAAAAATAATTTCATAAGCCATACAAGTGTCAACTGCCATTTTCAATGTTTTAATTAAGAACTTTTTAAAAATTGTAAACGAAATCAGGACAGTTTAGCGCAACAAATGATAAATGACTTCTTATTTGCACTTGTGATTCCTTTAATACAAATTGCTACCAACAAATGTGTAAAAGATATGGCAGATTATGCATTTGATCAAAGCACTTTGATTTTGATTTAAGCATAAAACAGATTCAAATGGTATAAGTTCAGTGCACAAGATCCAAGAAATTGCCTCCAAATTTGGAGGCAACTCTCTAGAGAATCATATCCTTTATTCCATAGCTGCAGATGAGATAGGGCACAATCTGTTGTAAACAGGGTACTGTTGTAAAACCAGAACAATATTCTTAAATTAAGATTATTCTTGCTAAATTGAAAAGACTTTCCCAAGTGTCTTCCAGCACTGTAGTATATTCTGCTGACCTCTTAATTTCATAAATTAACTTTCCTTTGATTCCATTTTTACGGTGGTTGTGTTCACAGTTTTGTTTTAAAAATTGGTTTAAATTTATATAAAACTCTGTACATGTTCACAAATTATTGCATAAACTGCATAATCTTCAAGACAGTGTTTGCAAACACATGTCCAATTTTGGGGGGAAAAATTTCACGTTTCCCGTCTGGCTTTTTTCTTCTTTTTTATCTGTTTGGGAGATTCCCAGCTAGTATCAGACTTGGCTAAAAGGGAGAGGAAAAAAAAAGAGAGAGAGAGATAGAGAAACACATTACGATGTGAGTAAATACTGCTATGTCTAAAAAATCTAGCAGAAGAGCAGTAGCAATAAAAACATTCCACTAATGAGTTCACAAATTTTATGTTTAAAATTTCAAGTACAGCTACATGTTTTTAGGTTATTCTAAGACTTCCTCTTTTTCCTTTCGATCCCAGTATCACTTGGTTTTAAAAACTGGGCTTTTTCACCACTTTTGACCTAAAAAACAATTATCATTTGGTATCACTCAGTCGAAGGGGTGGAGAAGGACACAGAAAACTTCGTAGTCTCTTCACAGAAAGGGAGACCTGATGGGTCAGGGCTGGAGCTAAGTTCTCCTCTCAATGTGTCCTTGACTTCTCCCTCACATGGAGTTATTTCAGTTTCTTGGTCTTCATACAATTGAGGTGCAGAAAGTGCTAAGGAGCCTAGTCACTGCAAAGCAGGGAAAGGCTGCTCTATTCACTCCATTAGATGGAACTCTAAGACCAGAAGTCTAATGATGTTAGACATCACACACAAACAACACAGAGACCGCATGAAAGAAACAAAGACGACGTTCACTTACTCTGTGAAGGAGGCACACTATTTTGCTTAGTATTTGACTTGGATTTTTCTGTTTCTTGTAGTATCGGTGGCACTTGGGAAGAGCTCTTGTCAGAATCACTTTTTGATAAAATAACAGATGGCTCGGTAGAAATAGCAGGTGGAAGAGTCTTGATAGGCTATTTTGGGGAAAAAAAATCTTAGATTTCTATATGAAATTTCAAATAAAACTAAATAGTACAGTGGTACCAAGACAGTGTTTAGCAGCCAAAATAATACTAAGGTGGTTTCCAAATAGTGTCAGCAGCACAAGTCATGCCTGCCCTCTAGTGACAAAACCAAATAAATCTTCCTCTATAATATCCACAAATACAAGTTGAGAAAAATGGGTGAAAATATAAGATGTTTACTGAATCTCAAACAGAAATGAATTATTCCCTTTTCTTACTAATTTTGTATCTTTATTGCAAAACCAGCATGATTATATATCTGGTAGGGAGTCAAAGTTTCTACCCACTTCCCATCAACTCTTAGCTCCTCAAACGTTTTCATGTGAAGTATAAAAAGAAAAGATCTCATTTCTAAACTATCGGTAGGTGATACCCACTTGTCTACTTGGGATATGGACATCTCAAACAGCAGCAGCAATAGCTTCGTTTCCTACTCAAGGGAAAATACAGCCTCAGACAAAAGCTGACTGTGGCTATAAGTATTGCCAATTATAGCAAATAGTGACCTGAGGTCCAAATCTCCAGGAATTTATCTAGTCTGATAGAGAAAATACAGTGCTTAAGGTCTTGTTTCTTCCTCTCCAACCTGGGAGCAGAGAGGAGGTAAGCTGATTTGCCTCACAGAGGCCTAACTGTTGATGAATGGTCATGGCCAGGTAATGATAGACACTCCACTATTTGGAGTATCTTGAAGCTGTAGATGATCAGCAAATCATTTCACCCAAAGGTGAAAAGCTTTATCTGTAACCATTACTCTGAGCAGAGAAAAGCAAGGGTAAGTAATGTTTCTCTTGCTCCTTGTTCTTCCAGGGCACTCTGGGTTCCAGATTACACAACTGAAAAGGGAACAAGGTGAAAGCTATGTGCACCCAGGTAACTCACTTGGACTCCTTGCTATAAGTTGCAGGCACCTAAAGCAGTGTTTAATGCTGTTAAGTTCAGCTTCCCTAACATATTGTATTTATTTCAGACTCAAAAGACTACTTTTAATCTCCTCCTCTGGTTTCTCACTCTATGTTAAATCACAAAGGGGCTCAAATATTCTTTACATGATGACTTCTAAAAATGACCTATGGGAGCCTCCCTGGTGGCAGAAGGGTTAGTCTCAGAACTGTTACTATCAGAGCCTGAGCTGATACCTAACCAGGGAGCTAACCCACTTAGGGTGCAGCAGACTTCTCCTGTTTTACCCACTGCTCCCCTTAGCACTGTAGTTCAGTCGATCTGCCTGTTCTGGTCCCCGCTCTGTCTCTGGTGAATCTTCTCATCCCCTGTGGTTCATGACCCTTTGCAGTGCTATTATTAAACCTAAAACATGTAATGAGTTTTTATTCTTTTATCTCAAAATATTGTTAGGGAATTCAAAGCAACAAATCTGAATAGGAAGTGTGAATTTAGATTCTGTTTTAGAACCTCCCTGGTGGCACAGGGGTTAAAGTCTCAGTCTATCAAGAGATTGCCAGCCACTGTGGTATGAATTCAACACTGGCCAGGGAGGAGACCCACGTGGCGCGGCAGACCTCTCCAGTCCTGTCTGCTGCTCTGCTTAGTGGTATATTTCAGAATATCCACTTGTTCTGCTCCCCACTGTCTCTAGTGAATTCTCTCACTACCCCCACACCTCTGGTCTACAACCCAGTTCTTGTATGCATAAATAATAAAAATAAACCTTAAGAATTCTGTTTTGAATTCTTATGACTTATACAGTCTTTGATTCAGTGATAGAGAATTTCCTGTCTGTTATTGCTTTGTTAAACATGGCATCTTCACAAAGACAGAAATGTTTCTTTGATTTGTTCTCTGTTGTATCCCCATAACGTCAAGTAGTGTGCGGTATATAATACATTCTCAATACATTGTTTTTGTATGAGTATGTAAGTAAAACATGGAACTCTAGTAAAACTTAAGCTATTTCAGAAGCCAGAAAGAAAAAGAAAAATGTCGATGGTTTCATTCATAGCAGAAGCATAAAGGACCAGGGGGAAAAATAAATAGTAATAGCGAGCACTGTATACCAGAGACATTTTATGGCAGTGGAGTGGGGAATGGGATAAAAAATGGGGGTTAGGGGAAAATGCACTATGCACTGGAATATGGTGATGGCACTTGGTGAACTGGTGGTGGTGGGAAGTCCTCAGGGATTACAACTGATATAGGAAAAGGCACAACATAATGTAAAAATAAACTATTAAAAAAAAACCCAAAAACTTAAGCTATTTCAATATGACATAATTTGCCTAATTAGAGATCAGATTTTTAAAGAGCCACGGTTTTTGTTTTCAGTTGAGACCTTCTGTAACATGATATTCCCTGACAAACTGAAAATTTACCTGGCTATTTTTGACAAGTGCTTCAGCTGGATCACTAGTGCTTGTGGTCTTCAAAGAAAAAGCCTTTTCCTGTTTTGGACGGACTTTAGAGGTATTCACTGGAAGCTCTTCTTTAATCTCTTTTTCTAATTCTTCTGTGTCTTCAGTCTATTAGATGATATTAATTCATTTTTACTAATGAAAATTTATTTGGTTTGTTATATTAGCACCAAGCAGCTATTTTAAGAGGTTAATTTTATTTTAGAAACTATCCAAGTAACTTAAAATGGCATCTAAGGCACTTATTTAGAGTTGTAATAAATAGGTAGGTCTAAAACATTTATCATCCCTACCACCTTAGGGATTTAAATCAGCTGTGAATTAAGAAATGATAGTTAATTTTCAAAATGGAAACTATTCAACTTATTAAATCAACTCAAATGGAATAAGCAAGTATTTTTCCTTTTAAGTAATTATACAGTGAATTAGTTGATACTTGAACTAAGACTAGAAATAGCACCACATGTAATGACATTTTCAAGGAATGGAGTACTTATATACTAGTGCATTTTCTAGACAAATTAAGCTTACAAGTAGAAAAGACAGAGGAATTTTAATTTTGGTCATGCCACAGTCCAGCTGTAAAATCTTGAGACAAATCATTTCGTTTCTGTGAACCTTAATTTTCTCAACTATAAAATAAAATTTGCCTTGATAGTCCCCCTTAAGGTCCTATCTAAACTTTAATATTTCTATTTCTAGGCCTTCAGACTTTTAAAAAATTTCATCAAAATAAATTTAAAGCAGGTGGCGCAGCAGGCTAAAGCACAGCATTAAGAAGCTAAAGCCACATCAGCATGAGTTTGACCCCCGCCTTGGAGGTGACCCACATGGTGTGGCAGATCTCTCTTGACCCGCCCGCTGTTCCCCTCAGCAGTGTACTTCATCAGTCTGCCTGTTCTGCTCCCCACTGTCTCTGGTGAATTCTCTCACTGCCCCTGCACCTTTGACTTATCCCAGTTCTGTATGCATAAATAAATAAATCTTTAAAAAAAAAAAATTTCAAGCATATTACATGTGCTTTAAGTATGAACTATCATACACTAAAAAGTGCATTACTGTGAACTGCATTCTTCTTTAGCGATCACAAACACAAAAATGGCTGTTGTTTTTAACAAATGCCAAGATTATCTTCAAAGTATCCTTCCAATAATATTTATAAAACTTGTTCAAATGAGTTTAGGAAGTAATTCAAAGTTTTGTTGTGGACTTAATAGGCACAACTAATTTTGGAAGTACTGCGTAAGATTTGTAATCTGTACAATGTTAATGAGAAGACATCAATTTATTTTCATTTTAAGTTGAACATTGATAGTAAAGAACTTCACCAACCACACACCGTAACTAAAAACTAACTTTAGTGATGTGTGGTATCATACATTTGAAGAGGCTTGTATAAAAGCACTTCTAAAATTTATACAATGTTATCAACCAATGTTAACCTCAACAAAACAAAACACTTAACAAATTCTAGGAAAACAAATTCTAAAACTAGCAATTTATTGACAGAATACCATGTGCTATATTCTTACAAAAACTCATGAGTAATCTCATTTAATTCTCAAAGCAATTTACATAGCTGAGTAACTTGTGCAAAGTAAATAATCAAAACAAAAAACTGGCAAATGACAGAATTGAAATTTGAATCTAGATCTGACTCTAAAGTATGTATACTCATTCACTATATTTGAAAAAAAATTTTTTTTCAAAGTATCAGAGTACCAGGAACTTTCACATTTTAATGACCTGGTGGCACAATGGGTCAAAGTACAGCACTGTGATGCTAGCCACAGCCGCTTCAGTGTCAGTTCAATCCCTGGGCAGGGAGGTGACCCACACGGCACAGCAGACCTCTCCTGTATTGCCAGCTGCTCCCCTCAGCAGTGTACTGTAGTCAGTCTGCCTGTTCTGCTCCCCACTCTGTCTCTGGTGAATCCTTTCACCCCCACAACTCTGGCCTGTGACCAAGTTCTTGTGTATAAATGGATAAATCTTAAAAAAAAAAAAAACAAAAAAACAAAAAAAAGCTCATGGGAGAACTAATACTAATACTAATAATGGAACATTATTTATGAAGGGCTGTTTCATAACGCTTTTCCTAAAAATAAGTCATGCAGTTATAACTTAGTATATTTGAAATTAATCTTTGTTTTTACTTGATATAGTAATCTAAAACATTTTCACAGATAGGAAAGATTAAAGAAACAAAAGAACATATAGGACTAAAAGAAATGGAGTTTGTTAGAGGCCAAAATAGCAGGAAAAGATAGTAAGTGGAATAGCTGGCAAATTAAGAGTTCAACGAGTGACTCGACATGTTATATACATGGTTTTCCTAACTGTGCTAAATTTGTTATGTCAAGTGAATTTTTGTATGAGCAAAATAGTGCTTCTCCTTTTCCATTTCACCATTATATAAACAAAAATGCATCTGCCTAATTTGGAATTTTTTATTTTGGAGTTTATACCGTTGATATGATTTTTTAAAGAGCAATAACGCTTTCATTGGGATATATAAAAATCTTAAAAATGGACTTTTCAAATGCTTTCTTTTCTCTCTTCACATTAGCATCTGCAGGTTTTTTCACTTTAGCAATATATACTCAATAAATGTTTGTTATTTTGATACTCTACCTGTGCAGGAGAATTATCTTCACCTTGCTTCTTCTTTTTCTTTTTCTTCTTCTTAGATTTCCCAGTTGGAAGAGCTCCCTCTGCCTTTTCTTTATCATCATCTGAAACCTAATATTAAGAGCAACAGTATTAAAGTGAACAAACTGGTTAAATTTTCAATATTCAGAAAATTACGAAATAATTTCATTCAATGCATCCAGAATTATCTATCTCCTGAATTCTAAATAATTAGTAATAAGTCATCACACTGATTCAAAACTACATACTTGAAAATTAATGGACAGGCAATTTCTATTTTAGAGTAAAAAGGAACCAAATTATTAATGACACACACAACAATCTGGATAAATTTCTAAGATTATGATGAGTGGGAAAAAGATGTACCAAAATGTCACATACTATATATAATTTTATTCATAGAACATTCTTGAAATGACAAAATTATAGCTGGGAAATAGATTACAGGTTGCCAAGTGCACAAATGAGGCAGAGATAAAAGAAAAATATGGCTATAAAAAAGGGCACCATGAAGAATACTTGTAGTGACAGAAATAAACAAATGCACATAATTATCTCAAAATAAACAGCTTAATTAAAAATGTGAATTTGAGAAGCACTGTCACTGAAATATTCAGCATGATGAAAATATGCAGTGACTTGAGATTGATAAATTAGTATTCATAATAATGTTTCTTCATACAAATACCATATAGTTGAATTTCCTATAGAAAAGTGCTATTTGCTTGTTCCTACTCTTTCCTTATAGGAAGAGATCATGTGAAATTGCTACTTCTCTGCTCAGCACCATAGTCATTAGAATGAGACTAGGCACCTCGTGGACCACCAGTTTATAGAAATTATAGGCAGAGAGAAAAACAAAGATCCATCAAAGCCTGCACAAACTTTGCTAAGATTTTCAGTCCAAGTTGGCTGCCAGTTAAAGAGAAACTTCCACAGATATTTTCACCATAGCTTTGTAATGATTAAAATACTCTATGAATATACAGATGTAGTCTATGAAGGCTATTCAGGTCACAAGTTTGCTTCTTAGTCCATTATAATCTAACCATTAGAGCAATGCTGAAAATAGCCCCATAGCAATCTGAATTCAAATAAATGTTTTAACAATTTTAGATACTTTAATGTAAAAGACATTTCCAACTAACTTAAAATTTCTTTACATCCCAGCCCTCCCTGGTGGCACAGTGGGATAAAGCACAGCACTAAGGCCCTCCCTGGTGGCACAGCGGGTTAAAGCACTGCACTAAGAAGCTTAAGCCACTTCCGCATGAGTTTGATCCCCACCTGCCCTGGAGGTGACCACATGGCGTGGCAGACCTCTCCTGACTCGCCCGCTGCTCCCCTCAGCAGTGTACTTCGTTGATCTGCCTGTTCTGCTCTTCACTCTGTCTCTGGTGAGTCCTCTCACCCTCTGCATCTCTGGCCTGTACCCCAGTTCTGTATGAATAAGTAAATAAATCTTTAAAAAAAAAGCACAGCACTAAGAAGCTTAAGCCACTTCAGCATGAGTTCGATCCCCGCCCCAGAGGTGACCCACATGGCATGGCAGACCTCTCATGTTCCCCTCAGCAGTGTACTTCATTGATCTGCCTGTTCTGCTTCTCTCTCTGTCTCTGGTGAAGCCTCTCACCGCCCCTGCACCTCTCACCTGTACCCCAGTTCTGTATGCATAAATAAATAAATCTTAAAAAATTTTTTTCTTTACATCCCATCACCCACACCACCTGGCACTAAGTCTTTATGGGTAACCATTACCATAAACTTCTTTTTGTGTCCAGTTTATACACTTTTTCTATAAATTTCTGTTACTCCACATACATATTTACATATATGGGATATTGTATTTTTCTACAATTTGCTTATCATTCAGCATGTTTTTTGAAATCCTGTTGACACTGATATTAATGGAGGTCTTTACTGATTTTTTAATATCTAACATGTCCCTGTACAAACATATTTTGTTTTCATTCCCCAACTGATGGGCCTTTCAATGGTACTTATTTTTGCTCAGAATAGTAAAAGCTGGTCTCTAAATACATTCAGAAAAAGAACTGCTATCTGCCATCTTTATTCCATCCAGTGGCTCTGTTTAATCCTGATGACGAGACACAGGGAAGTCCCACAGAAAAGACCTGATTATACATGTACTATTCAACCAATATTAGGATTAATTCCTTTGTGATATAGTATTGTATCAGGAAGCTCTTTTAAAAACAGGCTTTTTAAGATGTGGTACATATACACTATGGAATATTACTCAGTAACCAAAAAAAAAATAAACACATATGTTTTGCAGCAACATGGATGGAGCTGGAGAAGATCATGCTTAGTGAAATAAGCCAAAAAGAAAAGGCAAAATACTGGATGGTTTCACTCATAGCAGGAGTGTAACAGCCCAGGTGAGAAAATAATAATAATGATGAACAGTTACATACCAAAGACATTTTGTGGGGGTAGAGTGGGGAATGGGATCAAAAACAGTGGGGGGAGGGAAATGCACTGGACTATGGTGATGGCACATGGGTGATTTGGTAATGGAAAGCCCACAGGGATTACAACTGAGTTGAAAAAATGCACAAAATGATGTAAAAATAAACTATTATTAAAAAAACAAAAAACAAAAAACAGCTTTTTCGAGCAGTTTTAGGTTCACAAGAAAACTAAACAGAAAGTCTAGCAGTCCCACCTGCTCCCTATCACATGCACAACCTCCCATTAGCAACATCCCTAACTAGAGTGGTGGTTCTGTTACAATTGCTCAAGCTATACTGACACATCATTATCATGCAAAGTAGGCAATTTACACTGGCATTTACTCTTGGTGTTGTACATTCTATGGGTCAGGATGTGTAAATGACATATAGCCACCATTGTAATGTTACACAAACTGAAAATCTTCTGTGGTCTGCACATTCAGCCCTCTCTCACATTTCCTGACTCCTGGCCAGTGTAGGAAGTCTTTGTTGGTCCAATCCACAACAAACCTTTCCCCTTTGACTTTTAGCTGATTGCATTATTGTCTGTCACCCGCTACATTTATTTCCACCCTTACGTAAATCCCCACATCAGTACTTCTCCCTTCCCCTGATCTTTAACCACAAAAGGTACTATATCCTACTGAAGGACAATGCACCCACGCAGACCTAAGGTTTCCCTGATCCTACTGCCAGGATCTTTTCCTATTCATCAAATCTCTCTCATTTATGTTTAGTTCTTTCTTTATTCTGGTATTTTTATCTTTTTTTTTAAGATTTATTTATTTACGCATACAAGAACTGGGCCACAGGTGCAGAGGGAGGGGTGTGGGATGAGAGGATTCACCGGAGACAGAGTGGGGAGCAGAACAGGCTGACTGACCAAAATACACTCCTGAGGGGAGAAGAGGGTGAGACAGGAGAGGTCTGCTGCGCCAGGAGGGTCACATTTGTTACAATCTGTGACCCTAACAGAAGGGATTGAACTCATGCTGCAGTGGCTGTGGATAACTTCATAGAGCTTGCTTTAACCCCTTGTGCCACGAGGGAGGCACAAAATTTTAATCACAAACAAATAACTTCCAAATACAGACCTTTTCTCTAAACTTTAACCTGTACAACCTACATCTCTTAGGTATATATACAGAACACCTCATACGTGACATATCCCTAACTGAACCAACTGTTTTTCCAACATTTCCACTAGTAACTAGGTTTGCCCCTAAAGTCTGTCGATTGGGTGTATTATTTCCACCTTCATATACAATCCTGAGAGCCATTTATGATGACTTTTTCTCTACTCAATTCTAATCATATAATCTGTTTATCTTACTTCAATTTGTTTTTTTAAAATCTGTCCTTTACCATTTTTATCACTACTGTCCTGGTCTGCTAAACAACTCCCCTACTAGGATGTCAGAGTGGCCAAAACCCACTTTGGTTTAAAATTCTATTATCTATATGATAAAATCTATGGATCTCAAGATGACAATCGAGGATTTCTAGGTTCTGTCCTCACCATCCTCTCCAGTCTCAACTTTTGACTACTCCTTCCTTCACATTACCTCTACACATTTTCGATGGCACTCTAAAAGCTGCCAAGTGCCTCCATAATACTGAACACATTGTAAAATTACTGTAACCCCTCCTTTGCTCCTCCCAAACTAGACTGCAGGTTCCTTGAAGGCAGCAACCATGACTCCTTTATTTTGTTTCTCTTACTAGTAAAAACTAAATAACGATGATAGATGCTCAATTAATGTTTGCAGAATATTAATAGTCTTATCATCTTAGAGCTTCTTTTAACTTTTTTTTTTTGCATAGAAGAACAGGGGTGTGGGTCAGAGGTGCAGGGGTGGTAAGAGGATTCACCAGAGACAGAGTGGGGAGCAGAACAGGCAGATTGACTGTTCTGAGGGGGGCAGCGGGTGAAACATGAAAGATCTATTGCACTATATATGGGCTAGCTCCCTGACTGGGATCTAATTGAGGTGATATCATAGCGGTGACCAAGCTGAGATGTAACCCCTAGGTCACTAGGGAAGCCCATTTCTTTAACTTTCATCCTTACTAGCCTGTAGCCAAGTTAGATCAGCAATTTTGGGCCTCTTGTAAATACCACTTCCATTTATTTTTTCAAAGCTATCAACTTAGTTTGTTAACTCTTAGTCTAGTTCATGTAATGATCTCTTAGACTCAGATCAAAATAGTACAAATTATCCTCAAAACCTAGTCTTCTAGTTTAACGCATAATCTGATTTTTCCTAACCCTCGCAATGATTAGGTTAGCCCTCGTTTAAAAGCTGTCAACAGATGCTCATTACTTATAGAATTCCACATAAATAAGACAGATATTATTCACTTACTGAAAATCAAGCATGTTATTAGAGCTAAAAGAAATAGAAATTTCACAGTCCCTTTCTTAAAGAAATGCACCAGGGAGGGCCCTCAAAGTTGGTAAGCTATAACAGTTCTGACTACATGACAGAACCATGTGCTTGACTGATACAGAGAAGGCATGCAGGGGTAAGATAATTGAAGCCATTATGATGGTGATGCCTTTCCAAAGCAATTCTACCACTGGATACTTATAAGTCAGAATGTAACCCCTAATAACAATTCTAACATAGTTAAGCACACAGGCAAATATACTTTACTCACTTTTTGATCATTAGGAACTGATTCCTGGGACTTTAGAAGTGAAGCTCTTTCTTCATCTACCCAATTCCCCCACTCTTCTTCTGGTGCGTTCCAATCAGAGCTGGGATCAGCAGAAGATAGACCATCTAAAAGTTAACAGTCTGAGTTAGGCATCTATTATTTCTAACATAAACTAAAATGTAAAAACTAAAATTCTTCATGTTGAATTAAACTATTGTTCTTCTTTCTCCCAAGTTTATTTAAAAAGCTAGGAAAAAAATCAGTAACACGATTGTAAAAATCTCTATCCAACTTCTAGTAGGCACATCATATGGCTAGTCAAATGGAATTTCTAAGAAACTCCACAAAACTTATGACTTACTTAATTTTATGCTCCCTACTTCCTGTTATCAGGTTCTTGAGTTTGTCTCTTTTCACGGTCCAACTTTAATTTAGTCTAAAACTTGGTCATTTTTCACCCCATGACTGTTAAAACTTTTATTTATTTGTTTAATTGGTTTATTCTGTAGGGAATAGAGTCAATCTTTAATAGCTGTACCAACACTATCTTCCCTACAGTATAAAATGAAATTTTATATTGGACTTCTTCCTTTTTAGCTTTAACATAAGGTTCTTTTTTAAATTCATCAAGTCATGACAATATCTAACTCTTCTTTCTCCTCCTAACACATAACTTATACCTTCTTAGATGTTTTAGATTATTCAATGCTGCTTTTACCTAGTGATTTCAAAATTTCTGAGTCAGGACACCAAACATCCTGTTCTCAAGAATAAATTTTAACATTAGATTTCCAAAATGCCCTTTCTTTAAATGTAAGAGGTACTGAATCATACCTCCTTTGGGGAGCGGTCACTGCATTATTTTAAAAGCAAAAAACATTCTTTGGCTTTATCTTGGGGTTAAAAAGTAACTCTCAAAGTGAATTCTTCCTTCTCTTCCCCAGACATCACACATTTCTACATGCATGCCTGTAATGTTTACCACAGCCAGGTTTCATTTGCACTGTTTTGAGATGACAACGTTGAGCTTCATTTTGAAATTGTTCAACAAATCTTACTAATAACTCAGACTGACTTACTACAGATCCAATCTTTCCCCACTAAGGCCAAATGCTACTTTTATCAAACACAAATAACAATGATTTACCTGTAATACATTTTAGTATCTAGACTGACAAATCTATCTGCATTACTCTTGTTTTTTTTGGGCTATTCTTATTTTACCAGGTAATTCGTAAGACTTTTGCTTAATGGAAAGGTATTATGCTATATAGCCCCATGAAGGTTTTAAAACCCATATTGAAAGAATATATAATATGGCGGGGGCGGGGGGGACACAGGACAAAAACCATTAACAAAATTGTCTGTATGAAATGACTTTAAATTTATGAGTAACACATCAAAAACTGATATATCTTAACGGTGGAAAAACAGCAAATTAACATATTATCTTTGTTAGCACTTACTATGTATACCAGAACTTGAGCAAGGAATGAATGAGAGATATAAAAATGAGTATGATATAATCCCTCTTCACATAATCTGTCTATTCAAGGATGGAGGTAGCTAAGTACAATAGCTAATTAAGTGTTCAGTGACAGACTGTGTCACAGGGAATGTGAAAAGGTTAAAAGCATAAGAATTTATAGTCTATTGGAAAAAAAATATGGAACAAGTAGTTCCAAGTGTGAAAAATGTTAGAAAAAAGAAATTCCCTACATTTCCAAATGTTCATTAGCACAAGGAGGTATGTAGAGTCAGTATCACATAAGATGAACACAAATGTTAAGAGCATGGGCCTTAGAGTCAGTCAAACAGATCTAGATCAGAAAACTGTTTTACTTAATAACTAAAACTTTGGAATTTCCTTAATCTAAATGAAGTATACACCAATTTATCAGCTGCTGAGGAGACTACATGAAATTCATGGTACACTATGTATGTGCACTATGTATGTAAACTACGCTTTCAATAAAAAGGTAGCTATTGTTCTTATGTATCATGGACGACAACATTAGAAAGCCAGCTATTAAGTGGGTTATAGTAGACAACTGCTGGTGCCTTTGTAGTGGGTGTGCTGTGACGTGTTCACTTACATGTGAACCCCATCCTTAAATCACATTCCTTGTTGTGAACCAATGCTTAAAAAAAAAAAAAAAAGGTTTATGCCCACCACTTAAGGGTTTGACAGTGAATTTCAAGAATAATATCAACTACTTTTAAGAAAAGAAATTCTGAGATCTTAGCTTTTTCACACAATTCTCTTCACTTTCACGTATGATGCCCTTTTCCTTTTAAAGTGGTTTCAAGTGTCAAGAGTATTGAGATTTTAACTTCTACACTTCATTAATATGTAAATGAACACCAGCAAACTTGGTTGGAAAAATGGTCCTTAAAAACAAATAAGGTTTCTTCACTATTATTAGAAATTGGACTTGGATTTTTTCTTAGGAAAATAAAAAGAAATTGAGACTGTACTGAAAATTTTGGATGGATATAGAGGATTTCAAGATTAGTAGATATTATAATGTTGGAAAATTTTGGATGGATATAGAGGATTTCAAGATTAGTAGATATTATAATGTTTGTAAATTACTCTACCCATTATTATTTCTTATTATAGTACTTCGCTTAATGTTTTTCTCCATGGTAAATAAATCATCTAAATCCAAAGGTGAAAAAAGCCAGTTTATATGCTCTCAAGATGTCAAGAATTTATTTCACACAATCCTGATAAATCTCCCAGTAAGATAAAATTGAAAGGTCTTAATGTAAAACTCATTTTACAAGCATAAAGCAAACTACATATACCTGGGACCAACTGCTCATCTTACATCAAATATTCATTAACAATGGTATTAGGAGATTTAAATGCCATAGCAATTACTGGTTTTGTCAAAACCTTACAAATAAACACTTAGATTTGGAACACTGAAGTCTACCAGCCAGGTTTCTAAGATCTTTCCACATAAAATATCATGTGAAAAATTTAGGCAAGTGAGTCAGCAACATATAAAAACTGTTTTCTTAATAGAAATGGTAAAAGAGGGACAAACATCTAGTAAGGATTACAGTAAAAGCATTCCTAAAAATGTTGAGAAAGCCACAAGAAGAACAACTGTAGTATATTGTTTAACTTCTATATGAAAATTAGCAAGCTCTTATTGGCTTTTTGAAGCTCAATGATTTTTCCAGACTTACTGATTTCAAGTTTGTTTTTTAAAAATAACTGTGCTCAAATACACCTAATTTAAAAAGTAGCATGCTGATCATCTCTACATAAAAAACTCACTGGCAGACTTCTCAATACATAATTCTACAATTCATCAGCTGAATGTGGGAATAAAATTCTGATGGAGTCTCTTAAAATTATGCATAGTATATAATTGTCTTTATCAGAATAATTTCTCATAACTCTACCACTGGTCTGTCAATGTCTTTTCAAAGAGTCATAATAGTTTTCTTATAAAATGATAAGAATCCGTCACCCATTTAATTTGCTGTGCAGTATTTTAGGTTTATGCATCACATTGCTAGTCTCTATCTTACTGCAGTAGGAAAATGGTTGTCAGCTGTTATCCTGTTAATTCAGCATTAACTTTAATAAAACAAAACAAGTTAGAAAGGCATTTTTCAGTGTTTAAATACATGACACTAAATGCTGAGTAAAAAGAAAATCAACAATAGCACTACAGCACTTACTGAATTACTTTATACCATTTTTTGTATTATTTAACTCTCTGAACAACTCTGTCTGAGAATGACTTATTTTCACAGGAGATAAAAGTGAAGAATGAATTATCATATAGACTCCCTAAGAACAAAGGCAAGGAAGCTTAAGATTCAAACCAAGGCAGTCTGTCCTCAAAGATCATGCTCTCAGCCTTCACTGTGATGCAGCTAACCCATTCACTCTGGAGTGCCAAAAGAAACAAAGTTCTATTCAAAATTTGACTTTTTACAGGGGTTAGGATGATATTATTCTTTTATTTCAAGATTAAACTGAACGATAAAATTCTGCCTTTAAAATAATGTTACCTCGATTTTAGCATTATATTCAAGTGCTTGGGTAAATTCAATACCTTTTTGTCAAATAATAATGCCTATGTCTCAAATGAGAGGGTCAGTATATTAGTCGTATCTCACTGTAAATGTAAGCCCTATTGTATTTTGTGAACTAGTAATCTCAAATATTTTCACAATTCATTAAATATCAAAATTAGCTACATTAAACATACACAAAAAATAAAATTCACAGAGAAAAATGGAGTCAAAGAAACTGTAGACTGGAAAGACTATCAAGTAGCATAACAAATTTGAGGAAGACAGTGTTCCTGATGCATATTACTTTACATAGAATCCTGTGGATACACTTTTGTCTTTTATTTCGGCCACAAATCTTGTTTTTCATATTATAAAAATTCTCAGGTAGATAAAAGTAGGGCCATTCTGTACAAGAAGGGAAGTCTACAGCCATGTTTTCTTTAGCCTCAACCCACAGCTGCCAGATATTTCATGACTTTTTTCTTAACAATCACTACTATTACTCTACAATTGCTCCTCAATTTTATTCTTCACACAGATAAAATTCTCAACAGATAAGATTATCTCTTTCTAAAAAGTGCTTTCACATGCTTTGTCATACTTTGGATTTATATGACACTTTAACTTACCAAGAATGTTCATGTTCATTCATCACACCTCATCAAAACCTAACAGCCAAAGGAAGTAGATATGACATTATATACTCTAATTTCACAGCTCAACTAATGTAGACTCCAAGACCCAAAGTTCAAGCAATATGACATGCTGTGTTTTAAAGACAGCACTAGAACAAGAATTTACTTTCCAAATTAGGATTCCAATTCCCAGTTTCCAAATCTTCAAGCCAGCAATTCAAGACTTTTTAATAATGGCCCTCCTTAATCTACCTTTCCAATCTCAACTCCCTAATTTGTAAGAAATACACTTCAACTAAGCTATACAGATGAATCTGTTTTGTGTTATAAGCTTACCTTCATAATTATAATCACTGTGAAGGCTGTATTGAGTGGTTAAGAGCATGAACTCTGAAGCCAGACTACCATAGTTAACATCATTTCCTTGACTGACTGTGTGGCCTAAGGAAGTTAGGTAACTGCCTCAGTTTCTTCTGATAAAGCGTGGTAAAAAGCAATTCCTAATTCATAAACTTGTTACAAGCGTTAAGTAAGTTAACTGTGTGCACAGGAGTTAGACTAGAGCCTGGTACTGGCAGATACTTGTGTTTGTATCATTATCATTATCAATGCCTGTTTATAAACTGCTGTACTAGGGACTGATGATATAAGAGTGACAGTTTCTATCTTCAACATTTCAACTGTACTTGAGGAAACAAAGCAGTCTTAAAAAATTATATTTTTTGCAAAGACTAAAACAGAAAATTCTACAACATAAAAATGCAAAATAGTATAAAAACTGTACCATAAAAACTACAAGGTTTCAGGTTGTGGTCAGAAAACATCTCAGGTATTTTAAAAAATGATGATAGTATGAGCTTTCTGAACATAAAAAACAATTCTTTCCTTCTTTCTCATTTTCCAAACTCTTCCTTTTAACCTTACTATGCTTCTCTTGTGAGTTACACTAAGAAAATGCTCTTCTACCAATAAAAAGATTGTATACCTCAGAAATTTAAAGCCATTCTATATATTCTGTTATATTAAAACTAAGAAGAGAAAGAGCATTTATTTAAAACAAAAATTTAAAAAACTACAGAGCAACTATAAAAAAACTTTCTTTAAATATTGCCTCAATCATGAAGTGAATGTAGATTTAATTCTATGTTGAACAATTTATACGTAGTACACTTGATATTAAATAACCTATAACCTAAAATAACCTAATAACACTATAACCTAAAAGATGAGAAATTAGGATTAAAATTAAAACATAAAGCATGAATTTAGGGTGCTAGAAAGAAAATTCTTGAAAAAAAAAGTAAAGAAAAACTGATAATTTTTAAAAGGACATACTTAACCCAGACCATTCATCATCGATATAGGGTTGATTACGGCTAACATCCCACTGATAATCAGAAGTGGTAGACTGAGAAACTGGCTCAGCAGTAGACCCTTAAATGAAAACGAATGCAATAAAATTAAAAATGGAATTTTCTAATGATGTTTCACAATAATAGTTCTATACTTTGCACATGGAGATTTAATTACTTTTTATTTCCCCTAAAAGAAAAATTAAGACATTAGAAAAAGAGTTAAGGTAAAGGAAAAGTAGAATTGAGGATAATTTCAGATTAAGTATAATAATCATTTACTCTAACTGATGAGGAAATACGTAGTTTTCCCAAGTATGAATCCATTAGATTTTTGTTTTAGCACCTAATAATATATACTTTCAAATGGTTATCTATGAATTTCAAGAAATTAAAAAAAAAATTCATTTTATTTTTTCTTGTTAATGGAAAATTGTAAAGTACAAAAGAAATCCTGGAAAAAAACAAAAAAGAAAGAAAGAAAGAAATCCTGAATGTTTCAGGGCATAGCTACAGAACCCTGAAAAAGAAAACTAGAAAACGTCTGAGTTTGCTAGATAGAATGTGTTACCTAAAGAAAAGTTAAAGAAATAGATGATTTTCTAGAGGTGAGGCAGAGAGAGGCAAAAGAGGTAAGAACTATGCTAGTGGTTTATAAACTAAGTTCAATTCAGGTATATTGAAAGAGGGACATATTAGATTCTAAGTTTTTTTCCTTTTTTTTTCTGGGGAGGCAGGAAGAATGGGGTCTAGGGAGCATCAAACATTCCTCTGTGAATCTGATGAAAGCTCTGGTGACTAATGTTCAGAACTTACCCAAGGTTTGCATACAGTTCTGAGGGTATACAAGTGAATGAATGCCATGCCAAAATCCTTGCTCTATAATCATACATTTATTTTATAATGTTATAAAAAAGCAACGGTTCCCCATCAGGGATATATATGCCACAAACTTCCCGCGTCAGAATATTCATGTATGTCAGACTCCTTGGGTGACTCTGAAATTCATTTTGGGTTCAGAGTCACTGACATAAAGAAATGGTTAAGACCATGTGTTAGTATAGATGACCTACATACAATCACTTTTCATCAATGTCCTTACTAACGAAAGTAATTAGCCAGATGACTTTATCATCATTCTACTAATACAACTTTTTGATATATATGTATAATAATTATATTTATATATAATAGTTTTATATAAATATATGTATTTACATAAATAGAGAAATTTAATAGAGAAATACAGTTAATAGAGAAATCCTATTAAATTTATAGATAGTTGACAAGTTGCTTAAAAGCACAACAGGAACACTAGAGCTATTTCTTTAGCAGCCCATATTGCTTTTTCTGAATATATTCAGATATATAAGGTAACAGCTTATGTGTCATACAAAGTCACCAAACAGAAGAGGCTACTAACTAGTACCTCTGGAACTGAAATGTAGTATATGAAACCAGAGGTTGTTAAACTACAACCCGTGGGTGAAATTCAGCCACCTGCTTATTGTGTGGCTTTGAACCAAGAATCGTTTTTACAATCTTAAACAACTGGAAAAAAAATTTCAAAGGACTATTTCAGAACCAGATATACTTATCTGTTTATGTATCATATCTGGCTGCTCTTTTGCTATCAAATCAGAATTAAGTTGTTCCAGTACAAACAATACGATCCAAAAATAAAACATTTATTACTGGGTCGTTTACAGAAAAAGTTTGCTGATTCATATTCTAGACTAGTAACTCAAGGTATTGTGGAACTACAATATCAGTGCCCTGGGTTTGTCCATGAATTCAATGTGAGCCAAGTATTACAAACTAAAAATGCCCCATAGTTGTGAAATACTTGTTAAGAATATATAGCTTCAATATGATTAATAGAAGGCATAAACGTTTAAGTAATGCTGAACTGATAGTTTATTAGTAATAGTGTATTTTCTAAATCCAGTGATATAGAAATACTTAAAGCAGAGTTTTTATGTGCAGGTTCACATAACGTAAAGGCTTAGCTATAACAAACTCATGATGAGTAAGGAAGGGCAAGTAGAAATATGGTAAGAGAACATGGATGACAGAAAAGCATCACCATCCTTTGGGAGAGCTTCTATTTGCATTGTCTCTGTACAATATACTTTCAGTTACTTTAGATCTTTCTATCTTTGTGATAGGAAGGAACTGAGCTACCTCAGGTATGAATTTAGTTCTTCCTCCCTTTTTTATTAAGGCCTCTGCACTTTATATTATAGAGCTATTATTTATATTGATAGCAGTACTTATATGCAGGTTATTTTTCCAAATAGCAAGTGTTAAAATTAAACAGAAATGTTTTTGTTAACTAAATGAAAGACTGTTTTCACATACCAGAAACAGCAGAGTTAAGTGTGAGAGATGCAAAAGAAGCAGAATTCTGTTCAGAGGTATTCATTCCCCTATCCACACTAGACCAAGCAGCTGTTAAAATAAAGAACGTCACTTGGAACCTTCAATTTGCAATGAAACTTGACAGATATGTACAGATTTAAGACTATGATAACAATATTTAAAGATAATCTCAGAAATAAGAACCACTTAATAGAGCAAAGGCTAGTATTTACTGACTGTCTATTATGTACTGGGCTCCTTCCATCAACCACTTCTCTTCCAAGTTTCATAGTCATTAAGTGACTTTCTGATAGACAGTACAGCTGAGCCATGACTGGAACTGGAGTCTATTTCCAAAACACTATCTTATAGCAAAGTATCTTATTATCCACTATAATTAAGCTACTACTTTGGGCCATGCACTTGTACTTTACATTCATTACAAATACTTAACTATGACGTTCAAACAGGTTAAATAAAAAGCCTGCTTCCATAAAAGCTACTATTTGGGGAGAAATGGGATTCCTAGCAGACAGGATTGCCTCAAATTGTCCATGCTCATTCCATTCTACTATGCTATCCTTTCAACATTTTCCAGAGCTTTATTTCTTATATGAGTACTTTAAGAACACTTATATCAATAAGACCCATTATATACCTTCATCTTTTTAATGAGTCAATGTAAACCTAACACAGTTCTCTTTCCATTTTGACAAAGATCCTAATCCATGTAGGCAGGAATTAAGTATCTAGTCTGATGCTTAATTTTCCCTGTAGAAACATTAAACAAATACCATCTCAATTTATGTCCTAAATATAAAAATACTGCATACTCTTATAAGAAACTGTAAATATCTCAAAAATTGTTAGTTCTTAACATTCTTCAGTAACATTTTTCCTTTTAAAAAACATTAAATGTGAAAGGATGCTTTCTTTACATCAGAAATTTATGCTTTCTTCAGTGCTAAAAATGAAGCTGGGAATTCCGGGATTATCTCTTCCTCCAAACAAATTCTGGTATTTCTACATAATTTTTGGACACTGCAAGGGGAGAAGGGGTCAAGCTCAAGAACAATATTAATAAATGACCTTGAGTTTGCTTCTTGGGGACACTAGTCAAAATGAGTGAGGTAAAAGTGATGAGAAAAATAAACACAGGAACGGTTTTCTTTCCTATTTAAACACAAAAATCTCTATTGTTTGTTCTATTGCTCTCCCAAACTAAAAGAAGTTAAGAAATCTGCAAGTGTAACAGAAAAAATTATGATTAATATAGAAGGAATTTCAACTAAATTAAAAAAAAAGTAAGAGGCCATTAAGACAAATAGAGAACATTAATAGACAACTCTAAAAGAAACATATGATTAAGAAAGTTATGAAAAATATTCATCCTCATCAGATTTCAAAGTTAACCAAAATAGCTTACTATTTGCTTATAAAATTAAAAAATGTTAAAAAAAAAAAAGAGATTACTCAACCTTGGAACATATGTAATAAATGGCACTCATGCTGCTGCTGACAGTGTAAATTAAAATTCTCTTAGAATACTCTGGTAGTAGTCATCAAGCATCATAAGCAACTATATTCCCTTTTGCCCAATAAAATCACTCCCAAGTATCTACCCTTAAGAAATAATCCAAAACAAAACATATTCAATGCAATGATATTTACAATGGCTAAAACTAGAAAAAATGTACTGTATGGGAAGAATTAAGTAATCTGTACTACACTTACACAATATGCCATTAAATAAAAATATGTACAAGAGTAAGGGAAATGTTTACACTACAAAATTAAGAGGAGGAGGAACATAAAAATGCCTATCTGTTTTGGATTATGTATGTATTGAAACGGTACACAGAGGGGAAAAAAATCCATAAAGACAATAAAAAGACACTTGTTGTCAATGGGTGGTGTGATAACAGTTTCCTGTTGCTGTTTTCTATATTAAATGTTAAGTACTTTTCTACAATACACATACACATCTGAAACTAAGTTGCTTTTAATTGATGGCTCTCAACAGAAATAAGCTTCTCAACTATGGTCTTTAATTCCAGGGGTAAAAATTACTTACAATTAGGCATTTTGCAGATTTTAAAATCATAATAAATGGATGCTATAAACTGCATATTTATCATTTTTATTTACTATTATTATTTAAACTCAACAGTAGAACTGTTGGAAATAATCTAAGTCTGTTCACAGATTACATTTATTACATAACTAAAAATATACAATTATATCAGTTTGATATACTTATAATCATATGTGATAAAGTATGTAAGAACACTAAAAATGTTAAATGTTGTTGTTCAGAACTTTACATGCCACTTTGTTCCATGTGCAGTATTTAAGATGAGTTAATTTTTTACTAATATTTCTACATGGAATTACTAACTTTTCTACTTTGTTTCTTTCTTTCATCCATGGAAAAATCTAAATGCACCAGATAAACAATTTTAAATTACTTAGCATTTTCTAACAGTTCTTACCAATCCCGGAAAATATTGAACGGTCACTCCAACTCCTTCCCCAGTCTTTTCCATTTGCATTAGCATCTCCAGTGTCTTGACCCCAAGCGGATGGCTCAGTTTTCCTTTTTCCTACAGAAGTAGGTGAGACAGAGTTCCACTTCTCCTCACCTGTACTGATCTGTGAGGAGAGTTTTACAGACTTTTCATTCCAGCCTCCTCCATTTACAGTGAGGTTTTCATTCAATCCTGAAGAAACTTAGAGAAAAGAAAAGAAAAATTAAAAACTGATATATGACTCTTTGCTAATATTGGGATTATTTTTAAATTTCTATGATTGCTCATTAACAGCTAACAGCCTTGATCCAACCCATCCATTAAACAACCTAAGCTTTCAAACAGAAGTGAAGAATTTAAAAAGTGACATGACTATCACGGATGACTTTTATTTAAAATTCAGAGTAGTTTGAACTTAACACAGCTACTAATGATGTTTTTTTACAGCCAAATGATGGCCTGAATGGAAGTAAAATAGAGCATATAGGAAAATATTACATACTCATATTTAGAATACTTACCCACTAAGAACATTAAGACTTCTCTTTAATTACATGTTTTTTTCTTAAATATTTACACCTATATTTTGATTCTAAAACCTGGATGCCTATTAGCATCAACTGAAAAATTTCTTAAAAGTATACACTGATACTCAGCCCCATGCATCAGGATGTGTATGAGTGTATATGTACATAGGTGAATGTGTCACAGAGGTATGTGTGTTTAGGTGTTTGTGTGTGTTGTTTTTCTAAGCTTCCTAGATGACTATAATGTGTAGCCAAGATCGAGAACCATGGGGATGAAAGAAGCAGCAGTGTTCAGAACAAGCCTAAAATAAGAAGGTTCTTCTCCATTTCTGAATTTGTTTTACTTTTGTTTTCATGTAAGGTATACCATGCTACTTAATTTAACTGTCAAAAATGAGTAAATAAAATACATTTTCTATTTGTGAAGCACTATATAGCCTTAAGACTATTGTTCATTTGTTGTGGAATACTTGATATTATAAGGAAGTTCTTTAAAAGTTTATTAAGGCTATTATTTTTTCTTTAATAATTAGGGGATTAAAAGTTTTTTATCCCCAATATGCCCATATTTGGCATATATACTAATATATATGCCAACCCCACCAAAAGCTTTCTTTTCTCTCTAGGCTTAAATGATGCAAACAAGAATTAAAATTACACATAAACTATTACTGAATGTTTTTATATATGGGGGAGGGGAGGAAGGAAGAGAACAACTAGAACATACCAAAGACTATTAGAAGTGGGAGTGATTTTTCTTTTTATCTATTTTCCAAAATCTCTGGACTGTGCTTATGTTACTTTAGGAATTAAAACTCATTTAAAAGCCTTTTTTCCTTGTGTCATTCATGTGAGGAAAGAGACATATATGTAAGTTTCTGCTTTGATGGGCATTCAATTTAAGTTACATGTAATTTCTCACCCTGAAGTGTAGAATCTCCTTTTCCAGACTTAAAGTTGCTAACTTGAACATTTAGATGAGAATCACCTGGTTGGAATAGAAATAAAATGTATTTAATACTAATAGGACATTATGCATGTTAAATTAGGGTTAACATACAAAGCGAATTTTATTTACTATTTAAAATAAATTACTCCTTATATGACTAAATTCTTACAATGGAAAAATGTCCATTTTACTGACAACATATTTCACATGTCTTAAAGGAACTGAGTTATGTTATCTAGTTAATGCATTCTTAGTCTACTAAAATGTAAATAAAGATATTGGAAAATTGGCCAAGTATATATAGGACCTGCTGATCTATACTGACTATCAAGAGTCTTTTAGTTAGGAATTGGAGAACTGGGCTCTGTAACTGGATTCAACATTGCCACCTCTCAACAATACCAGCTGCCTTTCAACAATCCTGGAAACAAACACACCAACTTAGGAAGAACTTAGCCAGCATTTGGGACCAGGACTTAGGAAATAAGGCAAAAGGTGAAAATAAGTGTTATAACAAATACAGTTACTTCTCTGACACTAAAAAGCATGACAATGACTACAACGTATTCTAAAACTAGCAAGACATAGGACTGTGCTAATAAGGAAGGCATGCACAAGACAGAAAAGAGGTCACCAACAAAAACACTAAAGCGTGGCTAGTTTCTAATAGTTTAAATTGAGTAAATAGAGGTCATTGCTGTACCACAGCAATAAATTCCACCAAGTGATCAAGCAAAAAAAGTAAAAGTTAACAAGGCCAAGAAAATGGTCTGGAGACAAGGTAGAAGTAGGGAAGATAATAAAATGGTGAAGGGAAATAAATCAATACTTGAAAGCAAATTGAACATCCTCACTTTGCAGGCTGTTGTCTCCAGGGTAAAACTGATGGCAATGTAACAAGCTGCAACGAAGCCATCAATATCAGACAGTTTAAGTATTTGAAATACAGAGGAAGAATATTAGTTCTATAACCTCTAAGTTCTAGTGTAATCTATGGCCCTCTCAAAAAGTTGGGGTGATATAAATCCAGCTAGAATACCCAGAACATGCTTTGCTTCATCATTCATCTTGGAATGAAAGCACCTCACATGCAAAATGGGAACAACTAACGCCATTTAATAAATGGTTTGCTTACTGTAAGAGATGAAGATTTAAGATTGCTGGGGTAAAGCAATATACATCAGCAACATTTTCTCAGATGACTTAAGGCAGAAAAGCAAGTTAGTTTAAATAGGCTATTCATTAGACAGCATGTTAACTGCTGGGATCAGGTAAGCTTATGATAGGCGGTCAGCAGAGCTCTCATGAAGAAGGGTATATCAGCACAATGATGTAAAGCAATTCAGAAGAGTCAGATTTTGACATAATGATATTTGGTACATCTGGTTAAAAGGAGTTGGATTTGATGTAAAATTCTTATGTTCCACTAATATACCTTTGTTCTTCTTGGAACCAACAGGAAATGATGTAGTTGTAAGTTGCTCAGTTGTAACTGTGACGGTATTTTCTATCCCAGGGGTAGTTGAATCCAATGAACCACAATCAGTCTGCACCTTATCACGTTTACGCTGCTGACGTTTCTCTCTGTGACTAATTTTAGTTTCCCAGGCTCCTGACATAGCCCCAGAAAAGAAAATGTTATTCAGCAAGGGGCAGACAAAAGGTTGTACTGTTTTTGTTTTTTTTTTGGGGGGGGGGCAGGGGAGGGAAGATATGGCAAATAGGCAAAATATTAGAATATATTTAGATATCAAACTAAAAACAAGAAATGCTTGTTAAGTTATCCTAAGAACTTTTCCTAGTATCATTGTATTGCTTTACGCAACTAACTACCATTATTTATTCTGGTAATTTTTATTAACTCTTATATCCATGGTTTAGAAAAAATTACATAAATCATCCTGAATTTTTTTTAGCTTGCTGGTTAGAAACAACAGGATAGTATGTGTGATATGTAAGTATGGGGAAAAAACCCAAATCAAACTTCCAGAAAACAGAGACAAAACAATTCAGCTGGTCAAGGTATTAAGGCAGACCTTAGATTTCAAGGTAGTTCCCTTCAGGAATAGGGCTGTTGCATGCTTAATAAAATATATTTAAAAGTATTTTCTAACAATGCCACAGATCTGAATATTAAAATCTACAGTTAATTAAAAAAACTAGATACAAGATTAAATGAAACAAATGCAACTTTCACATAATACATTGGGATAAAAAGGAAAATTTTTTCTACAGTCCTTTTACTTTCTCAAGTACCTTCATCAACTTCCTTTCCATCATGGCGTGAACTGTTCTGCACTGCTTTAGCATCTGATTTTGATTTCTTCTTATTTTTCTTTGACTGAAAGTAAAATAGAATATTAATATTTCACTATAATTTTAAAAAAGGTAGGAGTCAGTAAAATACATATGAAATGCATAATGCTGACTAAAAAGCTAATGTTTGATTAAAAAGTAAATATGAATGATAACAGTACTATGACATCATTTCTTAGGTGGACTATTTGCTGCATATTTTACAATTTTTTATCACTGAAAAAGCTAACTGGAGAAGTTATTACTCCCAGTTTAGAGATGAGGAAATGGAGACTTTGAAATGTTAAGTATTAAATAGGCTGTCTGGGTCACATTGTTATTAAATGATGGAGATGTCATTAGGAAGCAGCTCCAAATGTATGCCCTTAGACAACCTGCTGTCCTAGTATTTTTTTTTTTAAAGATTTATTTATTTGTGCATACAGAACTGGGGTACAGGCCAGAGGCTCAGGGGCGGTGAGAGGCTTCACCAAAGACAGAGCGGGGAGCAGAACAGGCAGACTGACAAAAAGTACACTGCTGAGGGGAGCAGCGGGCGGGTCAGGAGAGGTCTGCCGCACCATGTGGTCACCTCCGGGGCAGGTGGGAATCGAACTCATGTGGAAGTGGCTTTAGCTTCTTAGTGCTGTGCTTTAACCCGCTGCGCCACCAGGGAGGGCCATTTTTTTAAGGATTTATTTATTTATGCATACAGAACTGGGGTACAGGCCGGACTTGCATGGGGCGGTGAGAGGATTCACCAGAGAAAGAGTGGGGAACAGAACAGGCTGCCTGACGAAGTACAGTGCTGAGAAGAGCAGCAGGTGGGTCAAGGAGGTCTGCCACACCATGTGGGTCACCTCTGGGGTGGGGATTGAACTCATGCTGAAGTGGCTTTAGCTTCTTGTGCTGTGCTTTAAACCCCCTGCACCATCAGGGAAGGCCCTGCTATTCTAATTTACATCATAAGTAAACACCTACACATATTCAAGATACAGATATTTTTGGAGTAGCTTTTAAGCTCCTTTCTGTTAATTTCCTCCTCTGGAAAGCTTGCTAAAAATTACGAATTCATACCGTAATTATTTCTATATTTAGCTAAGTGTTTCCAGAAGAGAGGACATATTCATGTTTGTATTTATGCTTCGTATTCATGTATTTATTTGAGATTGGCTATATACACTGTTGTGCATTATTTAAAGTTTATAACTAAAGAGATTATATACCTTGGTAAGTCTTTTTTGATGGGTAAGGTGTAAATGACACATAACTGCTTTCCTTATAGTAAAGAACTTGGGAATATTCTGAAGTGACATGAGTTTTTAAAGGCCATTAAAATTTTTCTTAGACAACAGAAATATATAAGATAAATAAAGCTTCTACTAGTCAACACTTCTGAAGGAACACTGCAAATACAAAGTTCTAGTAGTTCCCTTGTGTTAACAGTTGTTTCTTCCGTCTGTTTGCTATCAGACTCCAACATGGGCAATTAAGCTTGCTTCTTGAATGGTCTTTATCCAACCAAGACTTACTACATACCTACTAAGTGCTACATGCTGTTTTAGGAGCTCAGTATATAGAACTGAATAGAACCTTTGTACAAGTTGAACTGACTATGGATTTTCTCTCAGAATAAAGTGCTGCAGCAATGGCTCTAGAGTGATTTTCTCTTTACTCTGAACCATTTGCTACACTTTTTTTGAAATGAACTGAACTCATTTTTTCTTACCCTATCTCAAGTTCCACTCCCTTTACCTTATCCCTGATACTTTCTCCTTTTACTCTCCCTTAAGTGCATAAAATTTCACATCTCTAAACATTTAAAACTATCATGAATTTGGTTATTTGTTACAAATTTCCTGTCACCTTTCCATGTGTGCAAGGTTTCAATTTTTCTAATATGCACTCCTTGAAGGCAAGAGAATAAGATATTTCATTTTATTAATAAAATCTATTTCACTTTATTTGAATGGGTTATGATAAAGATTGATGTATAAAGAAAATAAATCTGCTTGAAGAAATCTGTCTACTATTAGCAGCTCAGCTATAGCACAAAGTAAATTACCCTTAATCAAAAAATCCTAATATCATTTGAAGTAGACTTCTCTTAACATATTAGAAGTAATCTTAAAAAATGTGTGGGTAGGTCCTCCCTGGTGGTGCAGCGGGTTAAAGCAAAGCACTAAGAAGCTAAAGCCAGTTCACCATGAATTCGATCCCCACCTGCCCCGGAAATGATCCACATGGCGCGGCAGACCTCTCCTGGCCCGCCCACTGCTCCCCTCAGCAGTGTACTTCGTTAGTCGGCCTTTTCTGCTCCCCATTCTGTCTCTGGTGAATTCTCTCACTGCCCCTGTACCTCTGGCCGGTACCCCAGCTCTGAATGCATAAAGAAATAAATGATAAAACAAACAAACAAAAGTCTGGCTAGGGGCCTCCTTTGTCACATAAGGGCTTAAAGTCTCAGCACTGTCAAGTCAACATCAGCCACTGCAGTATGAGTTTGATCCTGGGCCATGGAGCTGACCCACATGGCATAGCAGACCTCTCCTATCTCACCCACTGCTGCCCTCAACAGTATATTTCAGTAGATTTGCCCGTTCTGCTCCTCTCTCATCTCTGGTGAATCTTCTCATTCCTGTACTTCTGGCTTACACCCCAGTTCTGGTATAAACAAATTAAAAAAAAAATCTTAAAAAGAGTCTACAAAATTTTCTCCTACTGGCTTCCATTATAATTTCTTATCTTGTTTTCTCTCCATTTCATAAACACAATGCAGACATTACAAAAATTTTGAACTGTTAACAGTCTCACTAGCAGTTGTATCAGTGTTAAATATGAACGCATGCATGTATGCATGCACATGCGCCCCCCCACACACACACACTGCAAAGAGAAGAAGGTGTAAATGGCAACAAACACATATTTTTTCCCAGCAGGTATTCAGTAGCTTGGAATTTAAAATAATATTTGCACTCCGAACAGCAAATGGTTCCATTCTTTGAATGAAAAAGCTGTGATAAGGATTAAGTACACTAACACTGCATTTTAAAATTGTATACATTTAAAAATATATACAAACTAGGATGAATCGTTAACTTGTTAAAGAGATTGTGATGCCTGTAAGATGCGTTTAAAGAATTTAAAAATCTTATTAGGCAGTTATCTAAATATGTAATACTCAGCTAGCTGTCCATGTCTGGAACATATGGCAACTCCTGTGAATAAAATACCTCAGGAAGTAAGCCAGAGAAAGGGATTTGCTGTTCATTCTTAAAGTAATAGGTTAAATAAGTTTGTTGTTCTTATACTTTTATGAAAAAAATTAAGCACATATGCTAAACTGTTTCCTTGTAATCTTTATACATCTCTTACCGACAGTGCATATATTTTTAAAAATAACTTTTTAGTGAGAGCATTATGATCAAATATGCTTCATTAAATCTGAATAATCTAAATTCATTCATTTTAACACTTGGTATTAAATACTGTCTGACAAAAGTACAAAGATACAAATGAAGAACACATGCCATTGTCTATGAAATGCCCTCCTCCTGTAAGCATGCAGAAGTTTTTGTAGAGATTTAACTAGTGAAATTTAAATTTTCCTCATTTCTGTCAGTTTTTCCTGGAACTGAACCTGAAGGTTCTTTTTTATTCTGTTAACAAGTGAACTCACTTAAAAGACTTAACTACTTAGATTTAATGTTGAATTTAATTTATGACTTAACATAGAGCTTTCTAATTAACCCATATATGTCTCAAAATAACGCTATGAGGTAGATGCAATGAGACAAGGGAGGAGGTAGAGGACCAACCAACAAAGATCATGTAATTAGGAAGTATTGGCACTTGGATTTGATTCTATGTTCAGGAAACTGGGCTGCTTTACTGTTTTTCTGATGAAAGTTGGGCAGACATGAGAATTTTTACAAGTAACAGAAAATATTAAATATTTATTTATTTATACATACAGAACTGGGAATCAGGCGAGAGGTACAGGAGCGGTAAGATGATTCACCAGAAGACAGAGCGGGGAGCACAACAGGGCCAATGGACTAAGTACACTGCTGAGGGGAGCAGTGAGAGGGTCAGGAGAGGTCTGCCGCGCTATGTGGGTCACCTGCTATGTGGGTCACCTCCGGGGCAGGGATTGAACTCATGCTGAAGTGGCTTTAGCTTCTTAGTGCTGTGTTTTAACCGGCTGCGCCACCAGGGAGGGTCAGAAAATAATTTTTAATAAGAAAATCACATAGTATTTAAACTTTTCAGAATATACTCTTAATTGAATGATTTCCTTGAAAAAACAAAACAACAAAACAAGAACAGCTACTTTCTGATACGTTGTTAACCTTTCATTACCAATGAAGGGACAGAGTAAGTGTAGTTTTTTTTCTTCAGCCTACTAAGGAGGCAATTATTTATCATTGTATACTACAGATATGGAGCAACTTGATTTTTAGGAAAAGAAAAATGTGTGGCTCATTTTGTAAGTCTATCAGCATTACAGCAGTATTTTGCCACAGTATAATCAATTCATCTTGTAAGATAAAAAATTGTTGCTTCCTCCTTAACATAATTTAAAAGTCTGGTCTTTCAGTTTGCAGTTTGGCCTTACCCTCTTTTGCCACTATAGTTAAATAATGCAGTGAATGAATTTCATGCACGGTGATGTACCCATAATCTTATCTCCCAGCCCCGTTTTTTTTAGTTGTTGTCTAATTTCAGTCAAAATGGCCTGTGCAGCAGTAGCTTTTATTGTTTTTTCCACAAAAAATCAGTAATCACCGTTGATGGTAGTATCTGTGGGTAACTCTTATTTTTAGTTGCTCATTTTACTACTGAAATATAGTTATAAAAGTTCCCTAAGCTGTAATGTTAGAAACAGCTGAACTTTCTGCCTCCCAGCTTGAGTAATTTGCTAATTTATTTAAACCATCAGCAATGTTCTTATGCTGCTGTGTAAGTTCATGAAGCAATGTGTCTAGGAGACTGTCATACTGTGTTTTGCTCATTTTTTCATAGTAGAAAGAGTAAGAGTTTCTT